GGTCGCTCATCATAAACTGAAAGGGAACCAGCTTCACAACCTGAGACTTATTGTCCAATTCATCGTGAGTGTCTACTTGCCAAATTGGTTCAACACCAAGGTCAAGTCATCGTTCTCCGAAGGTCCGAGGCGTGTTCTCTTCCAGCTTGAGCTCCTGAGGAGTCAGCCAAGGAAGGTTGTTCAGATTGTGGAGCAGACTGTGAGGAGATCTTCCTGGAATGCTCATCCCGAGGCAGTTCTGCAGACAATGCTCTGCAGTAAGGATGAGGAGGAGAGAAGAGTGGCAGTCAAAAAGATCTTGGATATGAGACTTATGAGAGGATCTGGGCATGGCGAATCAGTTGGTGACGATTCCTTCAGGGTCAGGAAGACTCCTGAAGTCAATCTAGGTGCCAAGACCCTCACTGATCTCATAGATCTGGATAACATCCAGGCTGGCAGTGAGCCCCCTCTTACCTGCAGCCTCACCAATGTTCAAGTCAGAGCTTTCCTGGACAACCCCATGCATGTCCCTGCCTGGCCCTCGCACACCCAGAGTATAGAGCGTTGTGTACAGCAAGTGAGCGAGGCCAGCAGTCACGTGTACAGCCAGGAGAGGAGGGAAGGCTACATCCGAGCTCAGGTGGTCAGCAGGGAGGTGATGAGTAGAAACAGAAGCAAGAAAGACATGTTCTCTATGGTGTGCAGCAACACCGGGTCGTAGTAGTAAAACCGGTTTTGTATTTGATGATTTTGTTTTCTAAAGGAATATTAAATTTAATAAATGTCAAAAGATCATTCGTTTCATTATTCTGGATCATTTTCATCCTATAAATTAACCTGATACATTTACTTTACTTTTAAATAAGCTATTTAGTGGTGTTGGTAAAAGGGTGGAATACTGAATTTTCATAAGATTTCAAGTTAAAATTTACCTAGCAAAATGAAAACTTTTCAAATCTGAAGATATCACATGATTCTGCACATAGAACTACATCATTAATACCATGGGCCGATTTTTCAAACTCAAAAAAAAAAAATTCGCCTCCGTATGACACACCCTAATGCTCATTAGCCCCGTGCATCATCGTCGTCTCCCCGCTCACTATCACACCCTTCCTCACAACCTCACCCTCACCCTAACCCCATCACACCCTCTCCCTTACCCCTTCACACCCTCTCCCTTACCCCCTCACACCCTCACCCTAACCCCCTCATACCCTCTCCCTTACCCACTCGCACCCTCTCCCTTACCCCCTCACACCCTCACCCTCAAACACCCTCACCCATGGAGGGCCCTTGAAGCGCCGAAGTCCCTGGGAGAGCTCCTGGGGGTGTTGCTGCCCCTGGGATGGCCCATTGGGACGCCAAAGCCCCAGGAATAGCCCCTGGGGTCGCCGCTGCCCCTGGGAGGGACCCTGGGTCTGCCGCCGTTCCTTGAAGGCCCTTTGGGGCGCCACCTCCCTTGAGAAGGGCCCTCGGAGGGCTCCTAGGGGAACCGACACCCCAGGGAGGGCCCCAGGGGGCTCTTTCCCTGTAGAGCCCCTGGGGGCAGTTGCTTTTACACTATTTAGAACAATGGGAGATATGACGTTAAATAAATACACTGCCCAGCATATTTCCAGTATCATCTCACCATGAACAATGTAAAGGAGAATAAATATCCAACAGGAAAACATAAGTTGGGGTGTTGTGCTGACTGACTGCTCTGTTCTCCTATTGGCTGTTAGTTGGCGAATTTTATATTTTAATCAACCAATCACAGTTAAGTAAAGGATTGCTGGAAGTATGCAATATGTACGACTCCATGACCAAGCACGCTATAGGGCTACTGGAGGGGCACCTTTGGTAGGGCCCCTGGAGGCTCAACCGCTCCTGGGAGGGCCCTTGAGACTATAGCCTCCCCTGCGAGAGCCCATGGGGTCTCCACCGCACCTGAGAGGGGCCCAAGGAGAGCCCCTGGGATTGCATTCACTTCTGAGAGGGCCCCTGAGAGCACCGCCGGCCCTTGGAGGGTCGCTCGGTCCGCCGTCACCCCTGGGTGGGCTCCTTCGGACGCCGACACACTTGGGAGGGTCCCTCAGGTTACCGACACCCCTGGGAGGGACCCAGGTGGCATTGTCCCTTTAGAGTCCCTGGGGGCAGTCGTTTTTGCACTATTTAGAACAATGGTAGATATGACATTAAATAAATACACCACCCATCACATTTCCAGTATCATCTCACCATGAACAATGTAAAGGAGAATAAATATTCAACAGGAAAACATAAGTTGGGGTGTTGTGCTGACTGACTGCTCTGTTCTCCTATTGGCTGTTATCTGGCGGATTTACATTTTAGTCCACCAATCACAGTTAAGTAAAGGATTGCTGTAAGTATGCAATATATACGACACCATGACCAAGCAAGCTATAGGGCTCCTGGAGGGGCGCCTCCCCCGCCCTGGGAGGGCCCTTGAGACCGCCTCTGCCCCTGCAACGGCTCATGGGGTCTCCACCGCACCTGAGAGGGCCCCTAGGAGAGCCCCTGGGATCGCCGTCACCCCTGAGAGGGCCCCTGAGAGCACCGCCGGCTCTTGGAGGGTCGCTCGGTCCCCCGTCAACACTCGGTGGGCTCCTTTGGACGCCGACACACCTGGGAGGGTCCCTCGGGTTACCGACACCCCTGGGAGGGCCCCAGGGGGTATTGTCTCTTTAGAGTCCCTGGGGGGCAGTCGTTTCTGCACTATTTAGAACAATGGGAGATATGACGTTCATAAATACACTGCCCATCACATTTTCAGTATCATCTTAACATGAATAATGTAAAGGAGAATAAATATCCAACAGGAAAACATAAGTTGGGGTGTTGTGCTGACTGACTGCTCTGTTCTCCTATTGGCTGTTGGTTGGCGGATTTTTATTTTAGTTCACCAATCACAGTTAAGTAAAGAATTGCTGGAAGTATGCAATATGTACGACTCCACGACCAAGCAAGCTATAGGGCTTCTAGAGGGGTGCCTCTGGTAGGGCCCCTGGAGGCTCACCCGCTAATGGTAGGGCCCTTGAGACCACCGCCGTCCCTGCGAGAGCCCCTGGGGTCTCAGCCGCACCTGAAAAGGCTCCTAAGAGAGCCCCTGGGATCGTCGTCACCCTTGAGGGGGCCCCTGAGAGCACCATCGCCCTTGGGAGGGCCGCTGGGTCCACTGCCGCCTCTGGGTGGGCTCCTCCTGACGCCGACACCCCTGGGTGGGCCCTAGGGGGCATTGTCCCTATAGAGTCCCTGGGAGCAGTTGGTTTTGCACTGTTTAGAACAATGGGAGATATGACGTTAAATAAATACACTACCCATCACATTCCCAGTATCATCTCACCATGAACAATGTAAAGGAGAATAAATATTCAACAGGAAAACATAAGTTGGGGTGTTGTGCTGACTGACTGCTCTGTTCTCCTATTGGCTGTTTGTTGGCGGATTTTTATTTTAGTCCACCAATCACAGTTAAGTAAAGAATTGCTGGAAGTATGCAATATGTACGACTCCACGACCAAGCAAGCTATAGGGCTTCTAGAGGGGCGCCTCTGGTAGGGCACCTGGCGGCTCACCTGCTAATGCGAGGGCCCTTGAGACCGCCGCTGCCCCTGTGAGAGCCTTTGGGGTCTCAGCCGCACCTGAAAAGGCCCCTAGGAGAGCCCTTGGGATCGCCGTCACCCCTGAAAGGGCCCCTGAGAGCACCATCGCACCTGGGAGGGCCGCTGGGTCCGCCGCCGCCCCTGGGTGGGCTCCTAATGACGCTGACACCCCTGGGTGGGCCCCAGGGGGCATTGTCCCTATAGAGTCCCTGGGAGCAGTTGGTTTTGCACTGTTTAGAACAATGGGAGATATGACGTTAAATAAATACACTACCCATCACATTCCCAGTATCATCTCACCATGAACAATGTAAAGGAGAATAAATATTCAACAGGAAAACATAAGTTGGGGTGTTGTGCTGACTGACTGCTCTGTTCTCCTATTGGCTGTTGGTTGGCGGATTTTTATTTTAGTCCACCAATCACAGTTAAGTAAAGGATTGCTGGAAGTATGCAATATGTACGACTCCACGACCAAGCAAGCTATAGGGCTCCTGGAGGGGCGCCTCCCCCGCCCCTGGGAGGGCCCTTGAGACCGCCTCTGCCCCTGCGAGGGCCTATGGGGTCTCTACCGCACCTGAGAGGGCCCCTAGGAGAGCCCCTGGGATCGCCGTCACCCCTGAGAGGGCCCCTGAGAGCACCGCCGGCTCCTTGGAGGGTCGCTCAGTCCGCCGTCACCCCTGGGTGGGCTCCTTTGGACGCCGACACACCTGGGAGGGTCCCTCAGGTTACCGACACCCCTGGGAGGGCCCCAGGGGGCATTGTCCCTATAGAGTCCCTGGGAGCAGTTGGTTTTGCACTGTTTAAAACAATGGGAGATATGACGTTAAATAAATACACTACCCATCACATTCCCAGTATCATCTCACCATGAACAATGTAAAGGAGAATAAATATCCAACAGGAAAACATAAGTTGGGGTGTTGTGCTGACTGACTGCTCTGTTCTCCTATTGGCTGTTGGTTGGCGGATTTTTATTTTAGTCCACCAATCACAGTTAAGTAAAGGATTGCTGAAAGTATGCAATATGTACGACACCATGACCAAGCAAGCTATAGGGCTCCTGGAGGGGCGCCTCCCCCGCCCCTCGGAGGGCCCTTGAGACCGCCTCTGCCCCTGCGAGGGCCTATGGGGTCTCTACCGCACCTGAGAAGGCCCCTAGGAGAGCCCCTGGGATCGCCGTCACCCCTGAGAGGGCCCCTGAGAGCACCGCCGGCCCTTGGTGGGTCGCTCAGTCCGCCGTCACCCCTGGGTGGGCTCCTTTGGACGCCGACACACCTGGGAGGGTCCCTCAGGTTACCGACACCCCTGGGAGGGCCCTAGGGGGTATTGTCCCCTTAGAGTCCCTGGGGGCAGTCGTTTCTGCACTATTTAGAACAATGGGAAATATGACGTTAAATAAATACACTGCCCATTACATTCCCAGTATCATCTCACCATGAACAATGTAAAGGAGAATAAATATCCAACAGGAAAACATAAGTTGGGGTGTTGTGCTGACTGACTTGTCTGTTCTCCTATTGGCTAATATTTTGCAGATTTACATTTTAGTCCACCAATCACAGTTAAGTAAAGGATTTCTGGAAGTATGCAATATGTACGACACCATGACCAAGCAAGCTATAGGGCTTTTAGAGGGGCGCCTCTGGTAGGGCCCCTGGAGGCTCACCTGTTAATGGGAGGGCCCTTGAGACCGCCGCCGCCCCTGTGAGAGCTCTTGGGGTCTCACCCGCACCTGAAAAGGCCCCTAGGAGAGCCCCTGGGATCGCCGTCACCCCTGAGAGGGCCCCTGAGAGCACCATCGCACCTGGGAGGGCCGCTGGGTCTGCCGCCGCCCCTGGGTGGGCTCCTCCTGACGCCGACACTCCTGGGTAGGCCCCAGGGGGCATTTTCTTTATAGAGTCCCTTGGAGCAGTTGGTTTTGCGCTATTTAGAACAATGGGAGATATGACGTTAAATAAATACACTACCCATCACATTCCCAGTATCATCTCACCATGAACAATGTAAAGGAGAATAAATATCCAACAGGAAAACATAAGTTGGGGTGTTGTGCTGACTGACTGCTCTGTTCTCCTATTGGCTGTTGGTTGGCGGATTTACATTTTAGTCCACCAATCACAGTTAAGTAAAGGATTGCTGGAAGTATGCAATATGTACGACACCATGACCAAGCAAGCTATAGGGCTCCTGGAGGGGCGCCTCCCCCACCCCTGGGAGGGCCCTTGAGACCGCCTCTGCCCCTGCGAGGGCCCATGGGGTCTCTACCGCATCTGAGAGTCTCCTAGGAGAGCCCCTGGGATCGCCGTCACCCCTGAGAGGGCCCCTGAGAGCACCGCCGGCCCTTGGAGGGTCGCTCGGTCCGTCGTCACCCCTGGGTGGGCTCCTTTGGACGCCGACACACCTGGGAGGGTCCCTCAGGTTACCGACACCCCTGGGAGGGCCTTAGGGGGTATTGTCCCCTTAGAGTCCCTGGGGGCAGTCGTTTCTGCACTATTTAGAACAATGGGAGATATGACGTTAAATAAATACACTGCCCATTACATTCCCAGTATCATCTTAACATGAACAATGTAAAGGAGAATAAATATCCAACAGGAAAACATAAGTTGGGGTGTTGTGCTGACTGACTGCTTTGTTCTCCTATTGGCTGATATTTTGCAGATTTACGTTTTAGTCCACCAATCACAGTTAAGTAAAGGATTGCTGGAAGTATGCAATATGTACGACACCATGACCAAGCAAGCTATAGGGCTCGTGGAGGATCGTCTCTGGTAGGGCCCCTGGGCTTTCCCCCGCCCCTGGGAGGGCCTTTGGGGCTACTGCCTCCCCTGAGAGGGCCCCTGGGGTAGCTACCGCACCTGGCATTGTCCCTCGCGTCGCCGCCTCCCTTGGATGGCCCGTGGTGTCACTGCCTCCCCTGGGATGACCCCTGGGGGCGCTGCCACCCCTGGGGGCGCTGGCACCCCTGAGAGGGCCCCGGAGAAGTTCCCAGGGTTCGACACTATGAAAAAGTGTTTGGTAGCTCGTTGACGTTGCTGTGCTTAACAACTAAGGTCTTTAAGTGAGTAAGAAGGTTATTAATTATAGACCAATAAGGACCAATGGGATGGCATTTCGCGACACTCAGTTTCTGCTAGAGATTTCAATGTTTCTTTCCTCACAGCACTGAGTAAAACAACACGATTTCGATACAGTTTGATGTTTCATAAACCATGGAGTCCTTTTCAGGCGTTACGTAAACGTCACGCTAGGCGTTAACTGTACCTTTTTGAAATTATAAATTTGAACTTACAAACAAATAAAACAGTATTGTTGAAAGTCGTTTAAAACCTTTCTCCAATTTTAACAGTCATTATGTCGCTGTTGTCCAACAAATGATTCAGGTCGTTGATCGTGTTAACAATGCCGCTAGACTTTCTTGAACGTGGCAAATGAAACCAGGTTGTTCGTCAGTAGTCTACACTTGGGGCTGGGACAGTAATAACTGTTCTCTCGGTGTAAAGTTATGCCGAGGAGGTGTGATCAGGAAGAGATGAAGACTCACCCTCTGTTCTTGTTTGTTATTCATACAGTTCCGCAAGTCATTAACCTGTTATATATTTTGATGAGACCATCACGGCAAGGTTATGCCTAATGCATAAAATACAGACCTGAAAGGGATGCATCATATCTAATTTTCAAACTCATTTATCTTCCCTCCTTCACCAGATTTATATTCCATGCATTTAAGACAAACATATCAATGAAATTCTATCATAAAATGAAGTATCCCTTCTCCCCCCCCCCAAAAAAAAGTGTATGTCTTAAATAATAGTGGGAGCTGTAGTGTGGATTCACGATATGAATCAGCGAGAGAGCGGTTACTGATCTGAGTGAGATACAGTGACGTGATCAGGCAGGTGTGATGCCAAGGCTTCCCATACCTCGAGGAGTAAAGTATTTTTGTATTTTTGGATATCTCTTAAGGGGGGGGGGGGGTCCCATCGCTACCTCAACACCCACCCCCCCAGCCTTCCTGTTCAACTTCCTCGGGTACGCGTCTGATCCATGCTGTGATGCCTTGATGAGATCGTGCCCGGGTCGGTGATGGATGATGGCGGCTGTGGAGGAGCTTCAGGTATGTAAAGCTACACTGACAGGTCGTTAGTTTTCTGGTGCACTCCTGTGACCGTTCTTGAAGAGCCGTGTGACACTTGCTGTTGTTCAGCTCGGGCTCTTCCTTGACCCAGGGAGGTTCTGGACCAGGCGTTGAAATCAGGCATTTTTCACTTTCTGGCTGAGTGATTCATTGACCAAGTATATAGGTGTATTGGTTGACTGAAACAATTTTAAATTAACTCCTAGGTTTAATTTAATCTTTCTAAGATGTATAAACAATAGTGAGGTGAACATTAGTATAAATGAAGCTTCTTTTAAATAGTTTTTTGGTTGCTTGTATTATATGTAGAGACATATGCTTATAGTAGTGTTCTGTATTATGTGAAGAGTTAGGTGTTACGAGCCAACAAAGGCTTTCTAGATTAAACTACTGTTTCCGGGGTTGGTGGTTCCATCCCCGGACACTTCTAGTTCACAAATTAAGGAAGTGAAGGCGGTCGAGTGCAGTACTAGACATGCTGCCTCCTTGTGTACCGAAGGCTTAGTATACAGTGTGTTGTATCCACACTTTTAATGGGCTGTCATGCCTATGGGACCCATTTTCACTTTCATTGATCTTTGCTTGAGTATTTTTACTATTTTAATATACCAGGTCAAAGAAAACACACTTGTGAATTGCATTCGTCTTTAATAATCACTAAGTGTTCACACAACTGTTCACAGGGTATGTCCTCACAATGGACTTCGAATATATACAGTCAGCACCACTGCCAGTGTACAATTCCTTAGTCTTTTCACTTTATATCACTCACAACAATTCCACAATACTTGAACAACAATTACCTTCAGCTGTCACTAGGCTTGTACTTCATTCTGTGAACAGAATCGGGCGACTACTTTCCTAAGCATTTGTATTTATTTTTTTCCTAGACAGCTCGCTGGCGCTCATATACCTCTCGTCAGACGCCTAGAGCGTTCTAGTACCATCTAGGCATTGCAGGTCGAAACGAGATACGCCCAGAAGGTTCTAGAATGATCTTGGCTTACATAAGTAAAACATCAATATATACAAGAAAATCTCCCAAAAGTTGCCAAAATAACTGCTACTTGGAATAGGAAATAATCAGAACACCAAGTTTATTAAAATTATAATACTAAATTATTCCTTGGCATAACAACATTTTATATATTTTCGTTGTCTTACCTTTTTTTTTCAAACAAACTTACTGATTTTGACCAATTTTAACAAAGTATTAACAAAAAGCACAACTCATCTTACTTTAACACCTACGTTTTATGTGTTCACTTTCTTTTAAACTTTAAAATGCAAATTGTCAAAACAAATATGATAATGATGTCTAACCTATTTATAAAGTGGTTTACTCTTATTACATCTATTTTACATGAATATTGATCACTTCACTGGCAGTACCTCACAATATACAACACCTGTCAAAAACCAAACCTCACACACTAATGTTCAAAAGACACTCGGCCAGAGGAGATCTGCGTCACTCTGCGAGACTGATTCTGTTCACATAAAGTCAACATCACGCATTGGCAGTCTGCTCTGTCTTAAATATGTTAATAATTAGAAAAAAGAAAAAAAATGGTCTTAGATATATATGCAAGTAAATCACTGTGGGTGCTTTACTTTGTGTTAATATAATACATTTGCATCTATATTAAGTGTGTGGCCCGCGAAGTGTGCCACCATTCATGAAGTGACCCCTCCATCAAAAATAATTGCCCACCCCTGCCTTAGGCCGATGTAGGGTTATATGACTTGTGCTGCCCTCTACCCCATCCACCTCTCCACTCCTATCCCCGCCCACCTACCCACCTCCAACCCTCTCTCCAACTAAGCCCCCTCCACCTCCACCACCTAATATGAACAGATAAAGACATTCATATCATGGCTAAGACAGTTTGGTGTCTGCTGTTCATCAACGCAGAGGAAGATACAACTCCCAGGTTTATTACTGCCTTTCTGTGCTGACAATGGATGAACACTTTCTCAATCTAAAACAGGATTGGAACTTTCACAAATAAAATATATAAAATATGAAAAAAAGCCGAGAAACAATAATTTACTTAACAAGTGGTGATACAGCCACAAGAGGTGATAGAGCCAAAGGAATTGATAAAGTTTATACCACAGGCGGACAAGGAGTTACGTAATAAAAATCTATAAATATCACAGAGGGCATTACACAGTCATGTGTTTATACTTGGAGCTGGCGAATGCCCGCCCTATTATGGGTCACAACTTAAGGTTAAAGAAGGGTGAGAACTTCCTCCTCCAGTAGTTGGGATGAGAACTTCTTCCTCCAGTAGTTAGGGCGAGAACTTCCTCCTCCAGTAGCTGGTGTGAGAAATTTCTCCTCCAGTAGCTGGTGTGAGAACTTTTTTCTCCAGTAGTTGGGATGAGCTTTAAACCTTAGAGAGAAAGCTTTATGTTAGAATTGGGGCACACAGGTATGTAACATTTAGACGTATTATACGTAAAAGTCTTTTGATACGTTAGAAGGACTGCAAGATAGTGGTGACCTTTTATGAAAAAGTTTGGAAGATTAGGATTGTAAAAAGTAGCTGCGACTGTCTGGTCATCACCACCCCTGTAACTTAAAGTATTCTCATATTCCTGCGACCTTCACCTCTGGCAGCACAGGGCTTTGTCTACTATATATATCTAACGTGTACACTGTACAGTCCTAGTGCGTTTGCAGGGGCATGTCAGATTTTGTGCAGTGTGGCATCGCTGTGTTTGTTTACATTCGATAGAAGGAAACTCGCAATAGTAAACATACTATGGAATCAAGTTAAAACAATATTAAAACAAATATATCAAAGATAATTCACTTGTGGAATGTTTAAATGACGAGATCTGTAATCGCATTAGTGAAGGGAAACTGCACCTGTATCTTGCCTCACATCTCACTTAATACACTGGAGTTCAATATTTAGGGAGTAAAACTATACAGGTCGTGTGACAGTAATACTGTGTTTTAAGATACAATTTCTTCTTGATCCCACTATCTTAAATTCTCCTATCAGTTGTTTTTCATTAATCTTTCTTCTTATTCTTCCCACACTATTTACTTTATATTTTCCGTCCAATTTTTTCGTCTCCTCTTGCTCCCCATCTTCTTATCACCTCTGCCTCTGCTTGTGTCTGCCGCTACGACACTTAATACCCCCTCAGGAGGGCGGAGTCGGCCGAGCACCCACTCACGATCACCAGCTCATGAATTTTTACACGGAATGACGCCCCTCTGGCTTACCCCGACCAGGTAATGGTACACCAGAGGCTGCACGGTGAAGCTGGAGCATGCAGGGTGAAGCTGGAGCATGCAGGGTGAAGCTGGAGCATGCAGGGTGAAGCTGGAGCATGCAGGGTGAAGCTGGAGCATGCAGGGTGAATCTGGAGCATGCAGGGTGAAGCTGGAGCATGCAGGGTGACACTGGAGCATGCAGGGTGAAGCTGGAGCATGCAGGGTGAAACTGGAGAAAGAAGGGTGAAACTAGGGCGTGAATTGTGAAACTAAACGGTGCAGGATGAAAGTGCAGCATGTATTGGGAAGCTAGATAAAGGACGGTCAAACTGAACCATAAGGTGAAACTAGATGATGCAAGGGTTAAAGAAGAAAATGCAAGGTGAATCTAGAGCAGTGGTGTTAAACTCAAAACCTTTCGAGGCCAATTCTTATTTTAGTTACCCTCTTCAGGGCCAACACAAGTGCTATATCACATATTTGCAGGATTGAAGTTTACAGCTTCACACATTGCCTTACCTGGCTTACCAGGAATACCTCATTTGGGTTTGTCTGATTTTAAGTATGTAACATTAATTTTACTTAATAAACATGATTATATCTATTCCTTTCATAATTTCACGTGATGATAAATGTTACCGTCATCCCGCGGGCCATACCTGACCATCCCAAGGGCCACATTTGGCCCGCAGGCCATGAGTTTGACACCCCTGTCTTACACCTAACAAAATTATTGGCCAAAATATACTTCTTTCTCAGAATTGAAATTTAAGGGGTTTAACTAATTAAGTACTTTCAGAATAACACACAAACCCTAAATCACACCTTGGAAACCCATAGTTGATGAGTAATTAGCATTGAAAAATGTCAGTAAAATCTTTCAAGGGTCATTTTAGCCACTAATTTCTCTGCAATCGAATCGTGGACCACATATTTATAAGTAGCAAGCTCAAGAGTACAAATACTGTGATTTTCAGCAAAATCTAAAAAATGTAAGCCTTTTACCTTACAAAATTTTTGACCATAATATACTTTTTTCTCAGAATTGAAATTTAAGGGGTTTAACTAATTAAGTACTTTCAGATTAACACACACACTGCACACCTTGGAAACCCGTAGTTGATGAGTAATTAGCATTGAAAAATGTCAGTAAAATAAGGGTATTTTGCCACTAATTACAATCGAATCGTGGACCACATATTCATAAGAGCAAGCTCAAGAGTAATACTGTGATTTTCAGCAAAATCTAATTTTCCAAAAAGCACCAAAAATGTAAGTCTTATACCTGACAAAATTTTTGACCAAAATATACTTTTTTCTCAGAATTGAAATTTAAGGGTTTAACTCATTAAGTACTTTCAGAATAACACACAAACCATGAATCACACCTTGGAAACCCGTAGTTGATGAGTAATTAGCATTGAAAAATGTCAGTAAAATTTTTCAAGGGTAATTTTGGCCACTAATTACTCTGCAATCGATTCGTGTACCACATATTCATAAGCAGCAAGCTCAAGAGTACCCATACTGTGATTTTCAGCAAAATCTAATTTTTGGCCAAAAAGCACCAAAAATGTAAGTCTTATACCTTACAAAATTTTTGACCAAAATACAATTTTTTCTCAGAATTGAAATTTAAGGGGTTTAACTAATTAAGTACTTTCAGAATAACAAAATAACCCTAAATCACACCTTGGAAGCCCATAGTTGATGAGTAATTAGCATTGAAAAATGTCAGTACAATCTTTCAAGGGTCATTTTGGCCACTAATTACTCTCCAATCGAATCGTGGACCACATATTCATAAGTAGCAAGCTCAAGAGTACAATACTGTGATTTTCAGCAAAATCTAATTTTTGGCCAAAAACCAAAAATGTAAGTCTTATACC